AAAATCTGTCCCTTCCTCCATATCTTCCCCTTCTATTTGCCGGGAGGTGATGAGACCAGCAGCCATGATCTTAATTTTTTTGATTTTGAGTTTCAGACCATTTTTGTACTCTCCTCTTTTACCCTCATTACGAGGTTCTTTAATTCCTCCTCACTTTCTGCCATCAGAGTGGTATCATCTGCATATCGGAGGTTGTTGATATTTCTTCCAGCAATCTTAATTCCAGTTTGGGATTCTTCAAGTCTAGCCTTTCACATGATGTATTCTGCATATAATTTAAATAAGCTGGGGGACAATATACAGCCTTGTCGTACTCCTTTCCCAATTTTGAACCAATCAGTTGAGTAGGGTAGCCCAATGAAATTGACCTGTCTCGTTAGCTTAGAATGGAATAATGAAACCAACCTCAGAATTACCCTGGGAAATGTTGCAGAATTTTGATTAAAAAAAACTCAAGTTGCACTGCAGAAATGCAGGGACTTGAAGAGCAGAATTCGCTCCCAGTCTCTCCAGAGCAGGCTATTTGTTCTCATCAATTAGCACTTACAGTCCCACTAATGCACTCTTAGTCATTGATAAAAGAAAGAATAAAAGGTTTCATTTACTCACAGTTGAGCAAATAAACAGCATGCTGTAAAAAAAAAAAAGACTGTTTGCAATAGCAGACCTCAACAGACTCACAGCCTGCTTCCTGCTGACTCCTGCAGACTACACTCTAACTGAATAAACTGTTGAGAGGAGACTAAAAAAGGAGAAGAAAAGAGACTTAAGCAGAGAGGTGTGGCTCTCTATGAAAATCAGAGGCATGGAAGAAAGATTACAATTACTTACTGCTGGATTGGTTTACAGTCACCACAGCCAAGAAAGATCCCTCCCAGCCATATCTAACAAGGCAGCATATAGGGTTGCTAAAATTCCAACAGGAATGACATTTCAGTAGCTGTTCCAGGCAGAAAAGTAATATTGTAAGAAACAGCCCAGAATAGTGATTTCTGAGCAGGACAGTCCAATGAAATTCACCTCTTCCATCTGGCTAGACGTGACTGATGCAACCAGCCCCGAAACACCCCGAGGAACAACATTCCTATATCCATACCATGCAAAAAATTGATACTGCAAAACAACCCCCACTTCTGAATGATGAATGATAACTTCCAAGGAGGACAGACCAATGGTACTCAGCCATCTTATCTAACCAGCCCCCAAATGCCCCAGGAACGACATTCCTGTACCTCTTCCAGGCAGAACATGGCTATTGTGAAAAATAGCCCAGAAGAATAACTTCTGAGTAGGACTGACCAACAATATTCATCCATTCCATGAGACTAGAAGGACTGTCAGAAAATAATTTTAATTAATCAAGAAATGTGTTAATAGCAAGCAGATGGGATTTGTAGTTTGATCTAGCTTACAAAGTTGAAGCTTCTGAATGAGACGTTATGGAGAAATGTTTCAATAGTCTGGAAACTGACTACTACAACAGATGTTTAAAAGAGGACCTTGACCAGACATTAAGCCAAATTGCAAAACGTACTTCCTGAAATGTGTTGCAATTTAGAAAAGTCCCAAATTATAACTGGTGATGTGTAAGTGAAATCATGTCTGTGATGGACACACATGTTGCATCAGTTCTGTCAGGGGAAAACCTGTTACAGTATAAGGGTATAAATATCTGTGATTTTGGGTGAATGGTGCCTTTGCCAAGATGTTGAAGGAATTGTGCCATGGGTGTAATCTTAAATGGGTTTCTGCCTGCTTTTGGAGAAGAGCCTCATTTGAGGTTTATAATGATTTTTTATTTTAAAGTTTAATTTTTTTTCTTGACAGGACTGATACAACCAGCCATCAAACCAAACCAAACAAACAAAGAAAAACAAAATCTCATCTGCTGGGGAATTGCTCCAGCCTGATCCCTAAAATCAGAAGCTCTAGAAGTCCAGCTTTGGCACAAATTGTCCAAGTGTCATGTGATGACTGGGAAACAGATTGCACTGGAGCCCTCCACAAGCAGTCCAAACTGCAACATATTTCCCCGTGTAATCATTCCCCCTCTCACTGGGGAAGATCCTGTCATGCTTTCACTCCACCCTTGCTCTCACTGGACATATAGAGGTGCATACATGCAGGATACACTGGACAAACTGGTTAATTTATATGTGTGCTTATTTACTGATCATTTAGTTACATGTACAGTATGCCCAGTCATAGAAATAAAAGCCCCCCCTTTCAGGATGTACTGGAATACTGCATTACCCACTTTAAAGAACTTATTTAGCTTTCCAATGTGGATCTATCACTTAAAGATTAACACAAGAGCCCCTAAGCATTGTTTCTTGCTGAATGAAGCCTGTTTGGTCCCCCAGTCTGATGAGGAAATTTGGCAATGAAGTATAGAGAACATAGCCAGAACAACATAAGACTTCCAAGGACACTGGAGACAATCCCTGACAGTCTGCTCTGATCAGTTTTTATAACATCTGGCTGGTAACATTGCTTGCATTGGGTCTAGCCTGGCTGCTACTTTCAATACAGCACAAACACTGGATGTTAATGGAGAACCAGAGCCAATTGACTGAGAGGAATAATTGGTGGAATGTAGCCTACTATATGTCCCCTTGATCTTTGGCCGAGAACATTCAACTGAGAAATGATTGGCTGGGTTTCAGATGTAATTAATAACAATAATGTGCTGTCAAGTCAATTCTGGCTCATGGTGACCCTTTTCAGGAAGTTCCAGGTAGAAAGTACGCAGAAGTGGTGTACCATTCCATTTTTTCGGGGTGGAGGGGGCTGGGACATGCAGCTTGCCCAAGGCCACACAGGCTGGCTGTACTTGCAGGAGGCACAGTGAGAAATCGAACTCCTGATCTCTGGCTAATTACCTAGGTAATTAGCATGCCAAAATATTCACAGTGAGAAATCGAACTCCTGATCTCTGAGTAATTACCTAGCCAGAGGTAATTAGCATGCCAAAATATCCAACCTTCATTCAGTAACTAAACATCAAGATACATGTCATTTTATTTTAAATACATTCTGGTTTTGAAAAACAAAAGGAGATTTGTGTCTAAGATGCAAAAATACACAACCTTTTTGCACCTGAAAACCTGATTTAAACAACAACAACAAAAAAAAACCAACTTGGGTTTTGTTAACAGTACAAGCCCAACCGAGTAGTGGTACCCAAACTGGGGTCTCCAGGTGTTCTTGGACAGCAATTCCCAGAAACCTTCACCACTTGCTGTGCTGGCCAGGATTTCTGGGAGTTGCAGTCCAAGAAAATCTGGTGGCCCAAGTTTGAGAACCATGGGTCTAGAGATCAATTGCTTGGAAAATAGGAATAATTATGAAGTGTTGTGATGAAACATCTGCTTGACAGAGATTTGTCCATCCAGGTGATCTTTCATTCTTATGTGGCTCTTGAATGGATTGTTGGTGTGTATGGAGAGGAGTGGCTTTGACTTGACATTTCAGATTCTCATTTTTGCAATAGATTCAGAAGATTGTTTCTTCCCATCTGCATCAAGAACCATTCTTCTCTATGCCTAAGTGTGGCACCAGCTTTATGGCTGCTCTCATTTTTCAATCTGAGATACTGTCAACAGTTCAAACAGAACGTGATGATTCATAAAGTTTAGTATTACGGAGAAGGTTGGGAGACTAGTGGACAATATTTGCTGTTCCATTCATCTTGATACAGAGCAGCAAAGCAGCAAATACAGAAATGTGAGATGTGTTGAACATGAAGGGTAGATATTTTCCCAAAAGGCACAGCCAACTAGATGCCCTAATTTAAGCCATTTCACTTCCCTCCCAAAGGTTCAAGTAGATTCCTAATAAGCATTATTTTGCAAGGAAAGTTCAACATTGAACATATCTGACAGTGATTTAAATCCAGATTGCAACAAGTATTGAGACTTTCCCCTTAGCCTTGTCTCTAAATCTGGATGTGTTGTATTCCACTCTTCAGCTTGAAAGAACATAGACTCTGAATAGCACATGAAAGGACCCGGGTTGAGTTTTCTTTTTCAATACAGATGGCTGACACTGTTGTGCACTAGGTTCCATGGGGCAGAAGCACTCCAAATTCAAAATCAGCTTTCAGGATGAGCAGTCCAAGACTCTCCAGCTGTACTGAGTCATATATGGTTAAACACCGTGGATGTGAAAACAGATTTTTTCTAGGCGTCTGGACTGCTTTTTTGAGATTCAGGGCATGAACCCTTCTCACAGCCAAGAAATTCCAGCCATTATAAGATGTTTCCATCCCAATGTGAGATCATATGTGCAAGTGGTGGGGAGCCGTTTCTCTTTTGTATTCAACAGTGATTAATGTTTCTCATGTTAGCAAAGTGAATTGGAGCAATATTATAATTAGATATAGAAGAGTTAATAAATACCTGAGAGAGTTTCAATTTTCAAATGCATCTTACCTTCATATACACAAAGTTGAAGGATATAAAGTGTCCCCCCCCCCAACAGCCGTATAGTTGAAGGTGCTGGCTGGCTAGCTCAGAGGTTTAGGTATCTGGCTGTGGAGCCAGACATTGGGAAGTCAATTCCCTACTGTGCCTCCTGCAAGTAGAGCCAGGTTGAGTGGCCTTGGGCAAGCTGTACAGTCCCAGGACACCCCTACCCCCAAAAGAGACTGGTACACCACTCCTGTGTATTTTCTGTCTGGGAGCCCCTGAAAAGGGTCGCCATAAGTCAGAACTGACTTGATGGCACATGATTATAATGATGATCATTATAGCTGAAGATGTAAAAGGCGGCTATGATTTGTTGTCTAGATGTGCCCTTTAACAAAGCAAAGGGTGAAATGGTAAAAAAAATATCACTGGTTGTTGTGGGTTTTTCGGGCTCTTTGGCCGTGTTCTGAAGGTTGTTCTTCCTAACATTTTGCCAGTCTCTGTGGCCGGCATCTTCAGAGGACAGCACTCGGAAGATGCCGGCCACAGAGACTGGCGAAACATTAGGAAGAACAACCTTCAGAGCACACCCAAAGAGCTCGAAAAACCCTCAACAACCATTAGATCTTGGCCATGAAAGCCTTCGCGAACACAAAATTCACTGGCTTTGAATTCTCTTCTGTGAAAACATTGCAGGTCACGTGGAGAGGCTGGCTGGAGGTAGTTCTCCAAATGTATTTTGTCCTCTTGACTGCACTATATTATAAATCTAACTTCATTATCTTAATGTTCCTCCACAAAGTGTATCTGGAAGCTCCTGAACCCTTTCCTAACCCTTTGGGGTTTGTCTTCAGGTTCTTCCATTCACATGAAAGTTATTGTCAAAATTATGTGAGACTTTTAAAGCCATTCATTAATTTACAGGTATAATTACATGGAGAATTTAAACATTCACTGTACGGTTATAAGTTGCAATTACTATGAAATGTGTCTCTGTGGTTCTGCCACTTTAGAATATACTGCAAAAGTGAAGGAAAATAGGGCAGAGAAATGCATCGGTATCTTCCAGTGTTGCGAAAGCAAATAAAGCGGTATGTTAAACAAAGAGGCTGTTTCTTAACTTCCAGCTGTTGCAGTAATAACTGTATGACCTGAACAGAACTGAATCATGCTCTGTCACGTAAGAACTGAATCATGCTGTATAATACAAAACTTTTCTTGAAAGTTTTCCTGTGCTGAGGAAGAAAGGTTTCCAGAACTTTGAAACACGGACGTGCCCTGTGAAATTCTACCTCTAGTTTTGCTCTGTCACGAAGCACATTGAGAATAGCTGGAGCACAATGTCTGTGAAATGGAGGCTGCTGCTTCCTTTGCTTCTTGTATCCTTCTCGCCCTTGGTTTCCACTGGAAGTGTCCTTGTCTGGCCAGCTGACCACAGCCACTGGATCAATCTGAAATCCATCATGGATGAGCTGACAGCCAGGGGCCATCAGGTGACTGTGCTACTGCCTTCATTCTTCCAGGCTGCTAACACCCCTGAAACATTCCCGTTCCACTTGGAAGTGATCCCTGTTCCATTTTCAAAAGCAGACATGGATTCTTCACTTCAGGACTTTATATACTTCTGGTCATATGAAATGCATGAAATGTCTTCCTGGAAAATTTTCACTAAGCTCTATGATTTGATGAGCGAGCTGTTGGACAGAAACAAAATTGTCTGTGACTTAATTGTGCTGAACGAGGAACTGTTGAAGAAGTTGGAGTCAGCTCATTTTGACATTCTCATTTCTGACCCACTCTTACCATGTGGGGAACTAGTGGCTGAGAAGCTGCATCTCCCATTTATATATTCCTTCCGATTCTCCAGTGGGAACACCATGGAGCGTCTTTGTGGTGGAATCCCGTCTCCTCCATCATTTGTGCCTGCCAGTCTGGGAGGGCTAACGGACCGGATGACCTTCCTGCAGAGGATGGGGAACATGCTCTTTTACCTCTCACAAGATATCATATTTCATCAGGTTATCTGGAAAGACTGGAATAAATACTATAGTGAAGTTCTAGGTAAGAATTTATTCCCAGTTCTTAGTATGGCATCTCTTGTGTTTATGTTGATGAGGCCATGTTCACATAATAATACCATGCTCTAGAGAAGAGGATAATTTAAATTTTCAAAATACAAAAATTAGCTTTTAGACATATGCAGTTAATGATTTGTATAGCAGAAACTTCCATTTCTGGTTCAGTTAATTTTCTTTCTGTGGGGGGAACTCTTTAGTTCTCATTTTGTTTCAGATACTACTTCTTTAGCTTATCTTAAAAGGGGGCACCTCTTTCAGGATGTGTCTTTTGGGGGTTTTCATTAGTTGTTCAGACAAGGCAAACAGGAGAAGGGAACAGTGGATCAGGCAGGTATGCTAAAGAAGTGCAGTGGCAATAGCAAGGGAAAAAGAGGGAAGGAGAAAGAACAGAAATACCCAATGGGGTGAGGACATGTATGTGTGGCAGTAGCTACAAGACAAGGAAAGGAAGGGGACAACAGGGTGGGCAGCTGTGCTAACAAGCTGCATGGCAATGCTGAGAGAAAAGAAGAGAGAGAGCTAAGAAGGTGGTGCTAGGGGAATCCTGTTTGACACCTTGGCCACTGGCCTGTCGTGTTCCTCAGGGTTCTGTTTTGTCCCCTATGCTATTTAACATTTGCATGAAACCACTGAGAGATGTTGCCTGGAGGTTCAGAGTTCAGTGTCACCAGCATGTGGATGACAACCAACTCTGTTTCTCCTTCCCATTAAAACCAATGGAAGCTATTTTAGTACTAGAGCAGTGTCTGATATCAGTAATGGACTGGGTGAGAGCAAATAAACTGAAACTTAATCCAGACAATACAGAGGTGTCCTGGGCAGTTGAAGGGCAGGCCAAGGAATAGGGATGCAGCCTGTGCTGGATGAGGTTACAGGTGTGCAGTTTAGATGCACTCCTGTATCTGTCTCTGAGCCTAGGTGCTCAGGTTTCAGTAGTGGCCAGGAGTGCCTTTAAACAGTTAAAATTAGTATAACAGCTGTGTCTGTTCCTGGAGAGGTCTGACCTGGCTTCAGTGACACATACCTTAATTACATCCCAGCTGGATTACTATAACACACTCTATAAGGGATGCCTTTGAAAAGTGCTTGGAAACTTCAGTGGGTCCCAAACACTGCAGGCAGAGAGTTAACTAGGACTAGTTACAGGGATCACATAACCCCTGTTACAGCAACTCCAGTGGCTGCCAATCTGTTTCTGGATGAAATTCAAAGTGCTAGCTTTAACCTATAAAATAAAGAGGTTACCTACCTGTAACCATAATTCTTCTAGTGGTCCTCTGTGAATTCACAAAAATGGGTTGTTCTGTGCCTGCGCTGAATGTCTCGGAAGATTTTAGAGCTTAAAAGTACAAAGTTAGTGGGACGTTCCCCTGTGGAGCACATGCTCCACCCACCTAAGATTCCCCTCAGTTCCTTTTTTCCGCCGTGCTGATCGGATCTGCCGAAGAATAGAGAGTGTTTCTGAGTGATTTGTAGTGACTATATTAGTATTTCCTCTTCTAATCAACACCTAAATTGATACCTTCCTACAGTATTTTCCAATCAACTAATCGACGTTTCCCTGTCAGTTAGTTCTGTTTCTTGGCCTTTTCTGCTTTTGGCTTCCCACCCCTCCCCCCATCTCTTCAACCGTCTCTCCCTCTGGTTTCCCGCTCTTTATGGCCTCAACAGCTCCTTTTAAAAGGTGCATCGGCTCTTCAAATAAGATCCCATTATCTGACAGCCACAAATGCTGTTTATTCTGTTTGGGCGAGCAACACCCAACCCATTCTTGTGACGCATGTAGAAAATTGACCAAGCTGGCACTTAAGCAAAGGCTCCAAAGGCTCAGATCTCACCTTTGGGAGACGGCCATGAACAAAAAGGTGAAAAGAATCAAATCAGTCCATATCGAGACTCCGCAAACAACATTCCCATCAACAATTTCGGAGGAGTCCTCAAGAGAGGCTCGAGGATCAACATCGGAGAGGGAGGAGATTCATTTACCACTGGCTCACGTTCTGGTGTCACCTGGTAGCCTATCTCCCTACACTGGCCTCTCAATGGGTGATGCACCATCCAGCCAGGCCTGGGCCCATTCTAGCCCTGCGTCGGGGCAGGCAATTGAAATCCAACTTTCAGGATTGGACTCTCCTCAACACTCTCCCTGAAAACATTGGGAGAAACAAAAGCATATTTCTCCTCCTCGATATATGCCTCCGTATGGAGAGTACTACCAGTATACCAGTTTCCCATGGAACCATCATTTTGACATGGAGGAAGGTTTCCTGTATTGCTATCCATATCACATGGAAGCATACCAAGGACATTCATATTATCAAGAACTGAAGCGTGTGTGAAACGCACATCAATCCCCATCCCCATCGACACCACACCGACGACACCGCTCCCAACATACGGTACCAGCCAGCTCTTAAATGTTCAACATTGTCATATACCGACCATTCCAAATACCTCAGACAATCTAAAATTCATCAACCTGTTCAGGTTACTATCACATATACTGATCTCCATCCAACAACAGAACAGGAACCACATCATCCTCAGTCTTCCCTCCGAACTCAGCCCTCTCCTCTGGCCCCAACCGTAACAAGACCCAGAATCACGTCATCATCTTTCACATCCTCTTCTGACCAGGATCTGAATCACCTGAAAAATCACCATCCAACCTTCCTACACCAACCTGAGATGCTATCGACAATCATCTTCCATCTCCTTCAGAGGATTTCACTTCTTATTCAGAGATGATATCCAAAATGGCTAAATCCCTACAACTACATGTCTAAGAACCTTCATCACTTGAGGCAGATCTAATCTTCAATTACATCAATCAAGAAAGGACACCTCCACTTAGTCTTACTTTTATTCCATCAATGTTCAAAGTAATCAAGGAAGCATGGGACAAGCCACCATCTACACTACAGATCTCAAGACAGACTGAAAACCTGTACATGGAATGGACACTGAGTTTTTGGCCAAGCTTTCTACTTCCAGTTCTATAATTGTTGAGTCCAACCAGTGCAGAGCCAGAAATAAGTCTTCAGTGGCCCCTACTATAAGGAGGGTAGGAAAATTGACATCATCGGTAGAAGAATTTATTCGCTCTAATTCTTTTCACTTAGAGTTGCCAACTATCAAGTGGCAATGGGTGCTTATCAGCACCAACTTTGGAAAAAAATTCTCCCACTACTGGAATCTGCACCTGAATTGATCAAAACTGAACTGATTAATGCCCATACCAAGGCCACCTCGCTGGCAAAACAACAAAGGATTGCGGCTAGACATGCGGCCACGAGGCATCAAAGACCCTAGCATCCTCGATAGTGTTGCACTGACATGCCTGGCTCAAATCCACCGGACTGTCTGATGATGCCAAGTCAAGGACAGAAGACCTTCCTTTTGATGGCACAGGCCTCTTTAATCAGAAAACAAAGAAGACTATGGGAAACCTTTATAAAATACTGAAAATGGCAAGATCATACACCAACCAACAATCCTTTCGATACCATCGACCTCAATACAGACAGATTCAATTCTATCCACAATTTTTCAACAATAGTCATATCAGAGATTCCAGCCATGTCGACAATTCAGATCACAACCAGTTGACAGGTCCTTTCAAGGTCCACCACCATTGACATCATCCTTTCAGAATCGAAATTAGTCCTATTGACACCAGCCTTTTCAAAAACCCCAGATAAAGGGGAGAATGGTTTGTTGTGATCCATCTATAGGACGCTTACTTCTATATCTTGATCCATCCATCTCATCAAAAATTTCTCAGATTCCAATTCGACAACATTGTGTACCAATTCTGTTCCCTACCATTTGGACTTTCCACAGTGCCGAGGACTTTCACAAAGTGCATGCACCAGTTGGAGTGCATCTACGCCTTCAGGGTATAAACATCTACTCATACATAGACGACTGGCTGATAATTGCGACGTCGTACCAAAATACCATGAGAGCTACAACCATCACGCTCGACACACTTCAGAACCTCGACTCAAAGTAAACTATACAAAATCTCATCTCAAACCAGCACAGACAGTCACCTACATCGGAGCCCTCTTTAACTCCATGCAAGCCAGGGCCTTCATCCCCCTGGAAGGATTTATAAGGTTAAAGAAGGAAATTTGCCCCTTTCGATCTCAAACTTCCATTCCAGCCCATCATTTCAAGACCTCCTCAGGTTCATGGTGTCCACAACATTGGTAATCCAGCATGCCCGACTCAAAATGAGGTCACTCCAGTCGTGGTACCTGTCATTATTCAACCCGGCAATAGACCACCCATCCATGAAATTGTCTGTGACACCAGAGTTAGCCAGTCAACTCACTTGGTGGACATTGATGTTAAACCTCTGTGTTGGACGACCATTCCGGCTCTTCCATCCGACGGTGCAGGTCACCACCAACTCCAGCCCATCCAGCTGGGGAGCACATTGTCTTCATCACAAAATTCATGGTCTATGGACGAAACAATAGACCACCCATCCATGAAATTGTCTGTGACACCAGAGTTAGCCAGTCAACTCACTTGGTGGACATTGATGTTAAACCTCTGTGTTGGACGACCATTCCGGCTCTTCCATCCGACGGTGCAGGTCACCACCAACTCCAGCCCATCCAGCTGGGGAGCACATTGTCTTCATCACAAAATTCATGGTCTATGGACGAAACAATCACATCAGTCATCTCGAGCTCTTAGCGATCATCAGATCTTTCCATGCCTTTCTTCAAAGCATCGAGGGTTGAGTGGTGCAACTGGCAATGGACAATACAACTGCCCTATATTATGTAAACCAACAGGGAGGAACACATTCTTTATCCCTCCTGTACCTAGCCATCGACCTGTGGGAATGGTGTTACCAACATCACATCTTCCCTATTGCAGTACATATTTCCACGGATGACAATTACATAGCAGATCATTTCAACCGTATGACATTGATGACTCATGAGTGGTCCCTCAAGGATACCA